CAAAAATTCACTCCCGAACAAATGCAACAATATCGCATATATCATTCTCAAGCCTCATTGAATTGGTACCATCAGAACAAGGATGAGATCAACCGCAAGAGGCGTGAAAAATATCAACAACAGAAACTCTTACAGAATATCTCCTCATAAGAGTCTTGTTTTTCCCTTCAAGCTCTCATGATTAATAAGGCTTAAGAACAATTTCACACGTACTCTGTACAATACCCATATGATATCTCTATGTCATTCTTTATATCATTATACAACTATGTTGAAATCATAAAATCATATATTCAACATCTCTCTATAAGTCGTAAAAAGTTTATATAGAGAGCATCATATAGATATTGTACCTTATATTGTGTTGGACGACTTATTTCGGTGTTTTATCCGACCCATCGTTTTCTGAAAGAAACATCTACTCCATCTAATGATAACACACACATTTAAGGATTATCATTGAGTTGGGCTTGAAGAAGTACTGCTTCCCCCTGTCCTGACGGCTTAATAACAGCTTCCACTTATTCTACACAAAACATATACATCAACAATAAAAAATCCTTAGGGAGAGGTGGAGACATCCTATATCCCTTACCGACCTCATATTAATTTTTATCATTGATATAAATACCATCTTCAATATAAGTATATCTTTCATATATTCCAATAGCAAATGATTGATCTATCTGTCCTACATGATGATATCTTGAATAACATCAAACATAAGTATAAGCTTGTCTCTAAATTGTACCAACTCATCTCCAACCATATCAGGTCTTTCAATAATCCCACTCACGCCATTCTCAATTATCTCTATTTCAGATATGATATATTACATCCACATTACATCGAACTCTCCTTGCACGATCTTATTATCCTTACTATCCAATTCTCTTCAGACCTTACCTTTCTTTTTCCTGATTGGAAGTGTTTTGATCAGCCCCATCCTCTCCTTAAACAACAAAAGACACGTATCATACAACTCAGACACACCCTCTATGGCCATATCAATGAGCTCTATCGGATACAATTCTGCTTCTTCAAGAAGTCTCATGATAGAAGATTATGGGATTATTTTGAACTCTCTCAAGACCCATACATACAATCTCTCCCTTATAAACTATGGTTACCGGATAGTTGCTTCAAGTTCCATACATTCAATCGTCTAGGTCATCGTGAATTGTACATCCTTACTCGTAATGTTGATATTGATACTATCAAGAGGGTTCATACTAAGAAACTCAAGAATGTCACTTACTTGCAGGATCAAGAAGAGTTCTTCATATATTGTGTATCCGATAAAGATGTCCATAAATATGGTTTCAAGCCAGTTCTATATGATGAGAAATACAAGGAGTGTATCCTTTTGATATCTAAGAAGAACAAGTATAAGTTTTGGATTGAAGCTGATATCTTCTTGGAATTATGGCTTTTGAGATCCTTTGAATTGACTTATGCTCATTATCCTAGACAGAATGCAAATCAACGTGCTCAGAGAACAAAGCGCAATCGTAATGCAGCTGCGTCCGTCTTGACAAAACCCCCCCCC